TCTCTGTCAAAGGTGTGCCCAAGGGGAGACTTGTTTGATGTTGGTATAAAATACTGTAAGAATAGGTCTGATCTTTCCCAGCAGTCAGCCCACTCTATTGCTGCCCACAGGTTTGGTTCAGCATCCTCAATCTCTTTCAGGAGCTTATGGGCTTCATGTATTAACAGTTTATGACTTTTAAGCCTCTTAATCCTTCATATCTTTGGGTCTTCAGTTAACAGTTGATGGAACAGGTGATTTTTGTCATCTCTTGCCTCTATTGCCAGTAATGATGTTAGAGTCTGTTTTCTTATGTCACTTGGTTTAGTACATGGAGTACATCTGTGTGTGTGTAAATTGTGTATCTTGATACAAGTCTCAGTGCATTGTTCAATGTGCTCTTAGCTTGATGATTGTCCAGGTGGAAGAGTGATGATACTGATTTATTGATGCTCAACTTTAAAAGCCACTTGTGGAGATTAGCGATGAGTTCCATGTCTATACTCAGTATCTTTTCCAGTTCTGCCATATCAATTCCTTGGGCTACTATGGAGATATCATCAGCATTCATATCGCTTAGATGTTGTATGTGGGAAGTCTGAGATTATATACGTTAAAAAGTATTGGTGCTAGCACTGACCCTTGAGAGACTCCATTCTTCAGAGTTTGTACTCTGTTTTTTTCTCCCTGACTAGTAGTGAGTTTAAACGATCTGCTGTAGAACATGTTCATGATGAAAGCACATAACTTGCACTTAGGTATCATAGAGTGAAGTTTATATTTGAGGCCTTGGTGCTGTACAATATTATAGGCTGCTATAATGTCATTCAGATATATAAAATAAAGAGTGATTATAAATGTTCAGTTTTCAAGATGGAAAGAGGATCACCCAAGGATATTTGCTGGGACCAATGCTGTTTAACATATTCAGAAAATATCTGGAAGAGGGGGTGAGTAATGAGGTGGTCAAATTTGTGGATGACAAAATTATTCAAAGTGGTAAAGACCAAGGCAAACTGTGAGGAACTGCAGAAGGCTCTGGCATGCTTGAATGAATGGTCAACTA